AATTGTACTGACTCTAATATAACCTCAAGAGTTACATACATCGCATTCCGAAGTTGTTATCAAACACATTTCACCTACGTCTTGCACCCACAGCTGAAACTGCCGCGATAAGATTGACTAAATCAGAACTCTTTATTCAAAAAGAACCTTCACTTATTGTGATGTTATCGCTTTTCTCAATATACGACTCCACCTCATTCATTCCACCACATATTGATTATTTCATGATAAACTAGGGTCCCCTGTCATACTACCTACACTTTAAAGCATACTATGTTTGCTCTAGCCACTCACTAGACACATTTTACCACTGACTGACTGGTCATTTTTCTTGCCCCACAGTGTATGGATCTACTATCGCTAATCACCATCAACGTCGTCTCAGATTCTAGTTGTGCTTCAAAATTTCTTGGAAGTACACAACATATTACTTAAATGAAAAAGTAGTCAATCCAGACATGGAGTGCTCCTTCTCTACATTTATAAATACACTACATATATAATAATACTTTGTAAATTCACTACAATAATAATAATGAGCTTAAATATAACATCTGAAATGTCACCAGGTCAGAATAAAAGTCTCATAAATATTTGCACTAATACTCTAAGACTAGTAATAGTAATAATAATAATAGTCACATTAATAATTATTATAATAATCCGCTGTTTACGTTCAGTGAAAATGACTGAAACTTTTTAATATTCTACGAATTAGTTTCAACTCGACAATTTGTAACTAAATGCGATAAAACAATTCATACAAAAAATGTGACAATTATATTGAAATCAAGAAATCAGACGACCTAGAGGGAGAGACAGATAGAAAAAAATGTGAATAATTCAAGCACACAGTTAATATAAACAATTTGATACACTCAATAACAATTTGTGCGTGTATGTGCGCGAGTGTCAAAACACTACCATTTCAAACGCACAGATAGATAGATAGATAGATAGATAGACGAGGGTTCTTTTGAATCTGTCGATTTTCCCATTCATCTATACTATATGGAAAGTAACAAGTTGAACTGCTGTACTTCTGTGCAGAGTTCTATGTCAAAATTCAGTCAGTCAGTTAGTTACCGTCCAGGGCCTATTAGCACAAACCCTACTGCTTAATGTCTATAATCACTGACTAATAGTTCACTTACCGCACTCTGACAACACACTTGTTTTGAAGACCACATTTTAAACTTGACTGTGATGGAATTTAGTCAGCAGCAAGATCAAGGACTAGGCACATGACACTGGTTACTTCTCAGTGACTAATAGCCGTACAGGCATGTATATTTATGCCACGCGGCTGCACGCCTCAAGCTCAACCATCCCCTTTTTTCCGGACTTACCAAAGGCTACGCAGTTTAGGAGTATGTCAGCCAAAAGCCAGACCCCGGACCATGTAAATGGTTGAGAGGCATTCTACCATCGACGTACTTTTACCGCTTATGTTAAAGAAGTGATCGGTGTAGTTGTGTTCTTTGAGCAAGATAGCTGACTTCATATAGAAGTTAGAGCCGAATACGTTCTCTATGATAACAGTGAAAGCTTCGCCACTAAACCACCCAGTTGAGATAATACACACACCTACAGCAAAAGCGTCCCAACCAGTTATAATTTCTCTCCATTCTTTCAATCTATCTAGTCTTCAGATCTAAAGGGACTGTGTTAGGCATGATTCCAATGCAGTTCCAAGTTCAGAGACCCATTAAACATAATGAAGTGATGTTGAAATGAGGTTATTCACCTTCAGAGATCCAATATCAATTGGAATTCGTGAAAGGAAAAGCGAAACAGCTAACAAGACAATAATATAAAATACGTAGTGAATTTATCGCATAGTTTGTGAATGCAAAATTCGGGTTAAAGTTGCTAATAATTAGCCATTTTGCTGTGTGGAAATGAAAATGAAGTGTTCAAGGGATTTTTTATTGCAGTGCTGGAGTTTCTGTACCTCTGTGCGTCGGTGACACAGTGGTTAGGACTCTCGCCGACCATGCACATGGTCCGTGGTTCGATCCCCTGCCGGCCACACCCGATATAGTGGTCGGCTACCGATATCATATGCTGAAAATTCCATACTTGTACCAAAAATACTTGTGGTTTCAACTATAAAAATAGGTATCTGAATGAGATGGTGCTACGGAATGCTGCTACGAACATGTTATTATAACTTAGGTGATAGATGCCTATTTTAAGAATAAGCATTATTATTATTGTTCCCCTAGGGCTTCAGCAGTACGTCGGCACTTTGTCCAATTTCCTGTGGCCCTTTTTAGCTGGCCCCACGGTTGACCATAGTCTCTGAACTCCTCCTCGTATTACCTCGTAGATATCACCCTCGGATGACTCCCTCGTCGTTTTCCACTCGAATTCCACTCAAACGATTGCTCACATTGAGTGTGATGTGATTCAATGGCCTCCTCAGTGTGTGAACAATCCATCTCCATTTTTATCGGCATGCTGTTTGGCCAAGGGGTTCTTGTTTGGGTTGCTACCATATTTTCTTGCTGCTATTTATTTTCAGCCATTTGCTCTTCAATGTGGAGTGAAGGCAGATGCTGATACCAAGATTTTATTACATGTGATCCTTTATGAATAATAAAACAATCAGGATTTCTTTGGAGTCCTTATTACCTTCTCTCTTTACCTGCTGAACCAATGTCTTCAATGGTCCACATGTATCTGCATGATCCGAGAGGTTACGATCAATGAGACATCTGCTCTGGCAAACATAGTTGAGATACAGACAATATCAGTTTCGTCCACTATTCCTTGTGAATCTTGCTGTATAAACACTGTGGAATGGACTGTGTTTGTTAGCTTGCTGACTCTCAGATAGAATCAGGGAAAATAGCAGAAATTAATGCATCAATGTAGCTAAAGTATTATTTAGATTTTATAGATAAGTCTAATACGACTGGCGATTGTTAAAAAAGTAGCCAAAACTGCGAGAATCCTTCTGTTATTTACTTAGTTTTTTTCCTTTCAGGTGGGTTATAGGGCTTCAAAACACTGAAGTTTCAGAAGCGATGATGTTGTTGTTTTCAAGGAGTGGAATTGATAGCCTCACAAGCAACAGTCCGTCTTTTCCAAACTTAGTGATAGTTTGGTTACAGGATTTCATCATGAACTGACATTAGTTAGAGAACCATTGGAAAACCTGGGAGTACTGGACAGCTGTTTCGTCCTAGTTTGGGACTCTTCATCAGTACGCACCCACTGAGATCCGAACCCAGGACCTCCTGGTTACAAGGCGAGCTCGTATACCATTAAGCCACTGGGACCCGATTCAATGGCCCATGAATTCTTACTTCTGCCGATTCACGATATAGCGCAACCGCTATAGTGTTAGACTATGTACGAATATGTCCTCCAGGAATCAAATCTTGGTCTCTCGTCTGGCTAACGAGTATTCTACGACTTCACAACTGACGGTTTCTCAGTCAACTCATCATAGACAGCATTTCTGGGACTTTGCAAGAAATTAAACGAAGTAAGCGCCACCGCTCAGATATATAATTTATTAGGCTACAAAGTGCTTAACACAATACTAAAATTCATGTGTTGGTTCGTGGGAATTTGATTGGTTACATGATCTCATCATGAGTTGACATCGGTTACAGAGAGAGTCACTGGAGTACCTGGGAGAACTTGACAGCTATTTCTTCCTAGTTTGGGACTCCTCACAGTACACACCAACTTGGAATTTCTGGTTACGAGGCGAGCTGGCAAACCATAGTAAAAGTTAAAGGGAAACAAGCTTGTGATAAGTTCGGTTTATCATGAACCAACGACTGTTTATTAAGGTTTTATTCACCATATTGTAATTCATGACAAAACATATTGTGACACTTTTCCTGAAACTGTCTTGATTAATATGAGAATAGCTGAAAAATATGAGGGAGTGATACACAAATGTATATTTATTCATACATTAAAGATACTGAATCTGTGGTTTCACGTTTACGTATAGATTGTGATACAAACTGTGTTTTACTCCACATTCCATATGATTATCTGCAAAGCAATGAATGCAGCTTCACAGCACTGGTGTGAATTCAAAATCTTTACAAAGGAATCGATAAATCTCACACTCCTGTAATTACTCCGTAATGTTAGGAGGTTTGTTGGTGACCGGAAAGAAGCCTTGAATACACATGATCCAGTTTTGCAGTCAGAGATGTTGCTGAAGTTCCACTTAATCAAGCAATTCAATTCATCTGAAGTGATGAAAACCAGCGAAGTCCATCATGAATACCCAATTCCCTCATTTCTGTCTAATTTCATAACAGATGTACAGATGGAATTGACTCTAATTCACTATAGCGTCAATTGAACACTGTGAATAGAAATCCTCGGATGTTTGGCATGCAATTTGTTCCTATTAAATGCAAGATGGTACCACAGGACTTTAATATATAGACTTCTAGGTAAAAAAATAGGCAGTGAAGTGGTAGACCACGTTAAATGACCACTTCACTTATTTAGGAAGTCGCGTCAGCCACAAAGGACTAATCGTTGACGAAATCTCAGATAGAATACAGTAGGTTCATATATGACATTTACCAAAGTGAGTCATCTGATTGGGGTTCTACGTTTGTCGAATATAAAGTTGAAGGTTCGTCGCGGATTCCACCGGCAGAGAAATTAAACTCAGTAACATCAGCCAATATACTAATAAAGACTGATCATGAAAGTCCAATAAAACGAATCAACGCGAAATCAAAGTAACAATTTTACCAAAATAACTCTGGGTCATAATCAAATATCTTGGTGAAAATAATGTAATTCTCAACAATAAATTGTTGTTTTTGTGTACTACCTGATCATGAGTCTGCATAGTTTATTTTACGAAAATCATAATCAAAATTTCTTATTTTGATTGGATGCTGTAGTATTGTTGATCTCATTGGACTTATTGTCTATAATAAAAGGATCAGAGTGATCACAAAACGACGACTGTTGTTAGAAAAGCGATCAAATCGAATAAAGCAGAAATGCGATACATTTTAGCCACCTTCATGCTGATTTCCTTCAGTGTTTATCTGTCGATGTAAGTACTATTTTGATATGCCTTTTATCTACTCTGCTAATTAGTAGTGAAAACTGTTTGTATGACAAAAAAAAAGAAATGGCATCTTTTACCTCTGCTATCTTTTTTATTCGTTTGCATTATGCCACCAGCTGGAACCTGTGAGCGGGTTGAAACTTCCTTCCTTATTTCTTTGCTAACGTGTGCCAGTAAACACGAAGCCTGAGTTCATAGCTTCCTTCTAATTGCCCACAACCTCTGTGTGATCGACGAAAGCTTAATTATTCAGACAGATGACAGTATGATCGATTTTCAGTTGAGTAAACATTCGTCAACTTGATGTTTTACTTCTAACTAGTGCACACTCACACAGCATTGTATATCGAATGATGTTTCCGATATAAATGGTAGCGTTTAAAATTGTTTAAGGTAAATAACTCGATGTAAGCGTGCCTTATTAGGTAGACATTTACAGTACAAAGAAGAATTTGAAGGACCAGCCACCTGTTGCACAGGGGATTTATAGGAAAAGGCAGCTCATGGTATGATGTCTAACCACTTTAATTTAAGTAGTGTTGATGAAAGTTTGAAGAAAGACTTTGTTCACGGCCCTGTCTACCCCTCATCACCTAATCTACTAGATGCAGACGATACACATCACACCAAAACACACCACACCACATCATCTGACATCAGGTATTACACGTAATTATATGAAATGGCGTGATGTAGTCAGAATGAATGTGTAGGTGGCTAGCTCCAATCATGTGACGATTCAGAATTCAATCCCATTTTCAATCATTATCATCTATTACAGCAATATTTCCTGAGGACAGAGGACCAACCTAGATAGCCTCATCGTCGATTAACAAACACCTCCTCACCTTATAACTCGAAATTTGCATCCACAGGAGTTTTCAATATGAAGCACTTACCTATGTAGAGAATACCAAAGGTTTCGAAAGTGTATCTGTGTTGAACAAGAAATGCTGGTGAAGAGATTTGTAAATACTGTCAAAATGAATTCGTCTGCTGAAGCTGTATGTCCCTCCCACTCGGAACACACACCCAAGGAAATAATAACCAATAGTGGAATGATGAATAAGCAGCCAATATCACATCTTCGTCATTGGCATCTTTTTCAGCAGTTAGCATTATATCTGTCGAGCTGATAAAACAAGTTGCCAGATCTAATGTCCCTCCTGTTTTTGTGGATGGTAACTGACTAACAGTGGAATCCAGAAACGGATTTCTCGCCATTCTGGACTTGTTAGCTAGATGTATGAGCAAAGTAGAGTGAGTGATAGTGGCCTCACTGAGTCTCTATCCTAATATGCTAGAGCGTTATCAACTAGACGACCTTGGCTAATCGCCATCCTCCAAACAACATAATAGTACTCCGCAGACATCATCAAAGTGTACGTTCTAAGAGCCGACACGTCAGTAGAGGATTTCAGCCCAATATAATACACGATCATTCAGTCATCAAACCCTACACAATAATGTCAGTTAGTAAACAGTGTTTTGGTTTTCAGAGCTTGGAATTCTCGTATTCATCTGTATAACTGACATTCAGGAAAATATGTAGCCGTTTCACTGCAGATTGTCCGGTTTTGTAATTGCGGACACTTCTTCCTTTCTAGCTTATTCCATTTCATCTTCCAGTAGTAATTTAATCCCTTATCACTTTTCATTTCTAATTTACAGGGGTCTACCGACTATAGGACTACCAAATGTGGATGTGGTAATACACCAATATACAACATAATAAACTTACTATTTATCTTTTACAGCAGAGTACACTTTGTGAATTAAATATGGTTAAAAAAATTCAAGATTTTATTTTAGCCTCGTCTGGACAAGATCCTACAACGATTAAAGGATTCTTAGAAAAAGATAATTTAGAACAACAGATCCAAATTCTCATAGCAACATGTATGTTATATTTCGCTTTCAGCTATGACTTCTTAATAATTTGTAATTCCCTGTCCAGTTTTTTGTTTGCAGGGATTTGGTCGATTCAGAGTTTCATCATGAAATGATATCATTTCGAGAAACAGTGAAAACCAGGGAGGGAGTGCTGAACAGCTGTTTCGTCCTTGTGTGGGACTCTTCAATTGTTCACTTCAACCACCTAATGAGGAATGAAATCCAGGGCTATCAGGTTGTATGTGAGACGTAGCTGTCGACTTTTCAGTCACTGATATGGAATCCAATGGCCAACCAGTCCTATCTCCCTTCTTTTTGGGATATCTATAGCGCTGCTGCAAGCCAATGTCATTGCTTAGTATCTGTCCTCACACCCAACATCGTAGATCCCGCTGGTCTCGGCTTTCTTCTGGAATCTTCACCCTACACTCAGTCGCTAGTGAGGATTTATAACCTAATGGTCTACCTGCGTTAAGTCACTGATGGAACTGTGAGTGCGTTCTGATGAACAGTCCGAAGCAAGTATGAAATGGCTGTCCAGTACTTTCTGGTTCTTAGTGATTCCATAACTGAACTCACTTCATGATCAATTCCTCAGTATCTTATTCATCGTACACTTTTTCACTTGTTTGTTTTTAGTAATTAAACGTCTTGATGAAGGACTAGGAGTTATGGTGCCTACAGGAGGATTAGCACCAGCACCTTAAACGCCGACATCTGTCAGTGGCTCACAATATGCTTTAAGTGACGGGCTCTTTTTTAAACGCTACAAAATGTGATTCCTTTTTGATCGATTTGAAAACCAGTAATGTGATTTAATCTTTGTTTTAAAAGAAAATTTTTTTATTATTATATAATTATATTGCTTATATCTTCCTGTGTTCTGATGTTCACTTAGCGATATGGTTGCTAATCTCATCTTATAACCTGCCGTCTTCTTTGGGCTTAGGACTGGCAAATAAACTACGCTTATGGGTAGTTGATGAGGTAGCTGAAAGTGATAACATGGAAACAAGTGTAACTGAAGTGTTCATTTCGGGCTTCATGTTTCACCCGCTACATAAGGAGGAGCCAGTAATGTAATGGTAGTGTACTGTCCTTATTTTATTATTCAGAAGTGTGGAACATTATAAAAAGGTTTCATAAAATGAATTTAAGAATTGGAGTATTCGGTGGGATGCATTTGAATACTGGAAACATGACTGACTTAGTGCTGTTCAATATATATTTTGTCCATGAAATGTAGCATATACATACTGTATTGAACGTCTTATAAGCCACCTAAAGCAGAAAAATGAATACGTTGGATTACAGTGGTAGGATACTTTCCAGCTGCGCTACAGGTCCGGTATAAATAAGGCGGCTGGATATATTTCTTCTAGATACAAAGGTCAAGTCTTCTAATATGGATTGCTACTGCTTTATTTATTGACATGAGACGAAGTCCAGCCACACTTGATAGATTACTGGGAGCACGGCAGATCATCAAAAATGCCTACTTTGGTCTAATGTAACACTCAATATCCACCGGCTGAAGCTGCTCCCTTACCTAACTATACCACACATGTTTACATGCGTAAATGGTTAAAACCCTTTGAGTAATGTCTGAGTAATTAGGTCAATAGAAACAGTGGAATCCACCTGTGCACATTGGCTGGGCGGTCATTAGTAATTCATCCTTCCCTCGCTTTGTGAATACTGGTTTGTTCGAGAAGCTGAGTACCACTTTAGCTGTAGGGAATCTTGTCTCGATCAACCTATTTAGCCTACATTTTAAAATATCAGAAACAATTTCACCTTTGCAGCTCAACTTGACAAACGTTCTCTGATCTACAGTATCCATTGTTAACCAACCTTATATTCCTACTGAGTATACATTTTATATGCAGTATATTAGTATATATTAAGTGAAAGTGCCAGTGTTGCAATGGCTAGAGACAGGAATATTCGCTTGCATCCACTTCATTGTGAAATGATCGGCCACACTAGCTAGAACTTCTCATTGCAACTTTATGACATTCATCTAGTAGCCACCAATAAGTTGGAAATTGATATTCAGATGTGTCTTATTCAGATATAAATACGTTTCAGAGTGGATTTCGTCATCATCAGTTAAGGAATCGCTAAAAACCACAGAGTACTGAACTGCTTTTTTCTCGTATCTAGCCGTCCTAAGTTCGATTCCCACTTCGGTCGTGGTAATATGCTGCTGAAGAGTTCCGAAGTGTCCAGTACTTCCAGGTCTCCAATAAATTCTCTGAATGATGTTAATTCCTGACGAAATCTACTTTGCAATCAACCCATATCTCGACAATTACTTTACTTTATGAATTTTGACAAAAATAATAGGAAAACAAGGCAAGCAGGTTTAAAACTTCTTAATGACGAGGCAATCAACGAATGTAAGTAGTATGACCCAACATGCTTTATTATATGAGTTAAGAAACTCTGTTAAGACCGAATTTATGACCTGTCTCTATGATGTGCTTTGCGATTAATGAAATTGGGTATTTATCTCGAGGGAAAATCGAGGTACGTGATTTCATCTGATGTTGCAGGCACATAACAATGTGTTCTGTGGCCCTAAGCTGCAGAGACCAATGGATCCTACGTTTGTATGTGTAATTACAGATACATGTAAACTGGTGAACACAGCGGAATGTGAGACTATCGTCCAAATACTCTAAATATTTACAGGACAATACGAAATTAGTTTTCTCTATGAAATGAAAATGAATTTAGCTGCACAATGTCACTATGAGTTATGGTTTAGTGATGAGAGTTTGGTGATCACCCCATTAATGATGAGGATATATTAAAAACCCTTTTTGAAAGCTAATTAAAATGGTGGAGCCTCTTGTTTCATGCTTCCGTGGCGTTTTCATTGGCATGCCACACACACACATATAATAATGATTTGCCTTATTCCAAAACACTACTAATAACACAGCCGGATGGAATTCTAATCATTTGATACAGTACTGCAACTAATTTCCTCAACAACAACAACAAAATCGAGAAAATATATTATAGAGTATAGGTAAGCGAAGTTGATAATAGCAGTTTTTTGACAATAACAGTGATAATCAAGTCAGAAATATACAAAAGGTGTTAAATGAATATAATAATAAGGTCAGTAATTAAAATTGTAAGGTAACTGAAATAGCTTCATCATAAATTACACAGTAAGTTGTAAGTTCCACGGTCAACACTGTCTCTGTTGCATAGAACGCGGGCCAAATAGGGTACTGTTGAGTTTTCATACTTGATTTTGTGAGCATGTAATCTCTCATAATGACTTCTAGTTCTACCTGATGAGACACAAGGGCAGAGTTATGAATAGAGAGGGTGTTGAGAGTTAGACAAAGTGGATTTAGAACTTTTGTCATATGAGTTCGGCTGTCCGTCAACTACAGTAGTAGCCAGCTAACTTATTGGTATCACACCTGTTGCCCTACTGCCAACCCTTACTGCCCTTCACAATGTTAATCAGGAGAACCAACACAGGAAATTTAGAAACAAAAGTATATAGAAAATCAAAGCACACAGATCAAATACTCAACTATACTAGCAATAATCCAATTTCTCACAAACGAAACTGTGTGCAGACATTGTTCAAAAGAGTTCAAACACACTGTAGCACTCCAGAGTTGAAAATAATGGAAGGAAAATACCTACAAAAGAATGGTTATCCGCAAAATTTTATCAAAAAGTGTTTAAAGTCGAATCGAAACATCAACAAGAAACCATCATCAAAGACCACAAGAATATTCATCCTACCATACATGAGAAATATCTCTGAAATAACGGGTAGAATACTGAAACCGTTTGATATAGATATAGCACACAAGCCAGTTAAATCGCTTAATTCGATGTTATGCAAACCGAAAAATCTAACAGAAAAAGGAGATAAAATTAATACCATTTACAAAATAAATTGTATGGACTGCAACAGGCATTACATCGGTCAAAGTGGACGTCCCCTTCGAATCAGAATACAAGAACACAAATCAGCTGTGAAAAGACACGATATATATTCTTTAGTATCAATGCATATAGATAATTATGGATATCAATTTGATTTGGATAATGTCGAAATCTTAGACAGAGGAAACACCAAAAGTGCAGTCAGGGAATTCCTAGAAGGCTGGTACTCAAACGAAAATGCAATTAACAAACACATTATTATAGACGAAATATACCAACTAATAAAAAGTAAATCAGGTGACCAGGAAGTTTAAAATCCAAATCAATAGAAAATGGTCAATACATATGTAAAGATGGTTACCAGGAAACGCAATTATATCACTCATGAAGAAATTTAAATCATTTCACTTTATGCTAAATATTGCGCTGAAGATGTTGTTCAGAAGGACGACGAAAGCTCCGCAAGCAAAACAACCAGCTCAGAGAACACTATTAATTGCAAATATTAGATTCTCCTTATCAAGTAACCCAGGAAAGACGAAAGGGGAGGGATAAGGAACAATAGGCAATATGAAACAGTGAAAAAATTGTAAAATTAGAGGTTAAGTGATACCAGATTTTCTTAACTTCTTAATGTAGTAGGATAGACGAAACATTTTCTTAGAAATCAACAAGGTATAGGACGACCAAGAAAGCTCAGACGGTAGAACTATTTTATGTTTGACTGAGTCTCTATTTCATTGCCCTCTATGCTGCAAGCATCTTGTGAACGAACCAGTTCTCTCAGACCACATCTAAGACTGAAGGTGAAGTGCACTGTCTCATATTTAGAGGGATTTAATGTAAGACCATTTGGCTTGGACCAGGAAGCACTGGAAATCTGTTTCTCCCTAGTTTGTGACTCTTCACCTGTACCTATTCATGACACCATCAGTGATTGAACTAAATACATTTAGGTTAAGAGGCAACCACCTGCAACCCGTCCAGAAATACCGACAACAGCACGTACACAACTGCAAGTTGATACCAATCCTCAGACGAAAGCTGAAGTCTTGAATGCAATCAAGCTTCTGAAAGCTGGAAAAGCAGCTGGACCAGATGGAATACCCCCCGAAGCACTGAAAGCGGACCCAGGGACGACAGCAGATATGCTGACTCCATTATTGCAAAAGGTCTGGAAGGAGGGAAAGGTGCCTACTGACTGGAGGAAAGGTTACCTCGTGAAACTAGCAAAGAAGGGCGACTTAGGACTCTGCAAGAACCGGCGAGGAATCATGCTCCTGTCGACGCCAAGTAAAATCCTGAGTCGCATCATCCTGGAGAGAATAAAGGACGCACTGGATACAGAACTCCGACCAGAACAAGCTGGATTCAGGAAAGTAAAATCATGTTCTGAAAAATTGCAGCTCCACGCATCATCATCATTGAACAAAGCATGGAACGTCAATCAAACCTCTACCTCAACTTTATAGACTTTGAGAAGGCCTTCGACAGCGTTGACCGTTAAGTAATTTGGAAACTACTCGAGTACTACGGCGTACCCCAAATATTCATCAACCTTATTCAACAGCTGTACGACAACGGCACATGTCATGTGATCCACAACGGAAAACTCAGGGAGGCGTTTGGAGTAAACACAGGAGTCAGACAAGGGTGCTTATTGTTACCAATGATATTCCTAATTGTGGTGGACTCGATTATTCGTCAGACAGTGGGAAATGAGAAGACAGGGATATCCTGGACCGACATGAAGAACCTAGAAGACCTGGATTTCGCGCGT